TAGTCTTTAATTTCAATTTCAAACAGGCTTCTTTTGAGGATTCTTCATCTTTCTCTAAGTGGCCAATAGATCAGAAATTATATTCAGAATCAGCATGTGATACAACTTCTAAATCCATGAAATACGGAGAACATGATCATGTTTTTCCACCTGATTCTGTTGAGTACTTGAACTTGGAGGCAAAATCAATCTGCCCTTCTGCTATAAAGCAGAGTTTGTTTGATTGTTTATTAACGGAAGAAGGTTCAAAGAAGCTGGACGGTTTAAATTGGATGCTTGAGGAACTAGGAGACATTACAGATGTAGATGAGCCACATATGCTGTCCTGTTCTGGGGCTTTATGGGGAACAGTTGAAAATGAAATTGGGATTGAGATTGGTGTTTCCAGCATTCCCTCCGAAGGACAATTTCATACCTCTGTGCCTGATCCTTCTGTGTCCCAGGACCAACTTTTTAGCATTATTGATTTCTCACCAAATTGGGCATATTTAGACTCTGAAACTAAGGTCAGCACATTAATTTTTTGTTTATTTATTTTCACCATTTTTGTGATAAATTTACAGGGATTGAAATAGAGCATTCTTCATCATTAGAGTTGTATGTACTATGTAGAGACTTCTCTCTTCTCATGTATTACAGTATTCGTTTTTTTTTTTTTTTTTTTCCACAACTTATATATGTCCTGATCGTGGGAAGATTCATTAAGAGTCCAGATGTGTTAGAAAATTGTAAATGGTCATGTATGTTTGGGGAGGTAGAAGTTCCAGCAGAGGTTATAGCAGATGGTGTTCTTCATTGCCACACTGCAACACGAGGCTAGCAGGGTTTCTTTCTATATCATGCACTCCAATGGATTAGTTTGTAGCAAAGTGCTAGAATTTGAATACCGAACAGTTCATACTGAAGATGTTAACACTGCAGAAAACTATAATAGCAGTGCCAATGACAATCTTCAATTGCGATTTGATGAATTGTTAAGCTTAAGCTCCAAGTTAACTATTTCTGACACCAGCAGTTTGGGTGATATATCCCAGTTGAGCAGTAAAATCAATACCTTACTTAAAGAGGACATCTTAGGATGGGAACGAATGTTAAAGCCTAGATCAGGGGAGGAATTTTCCTCAGAAAAATTTAATGAGAAGCTCTTTCAGAAGCTACTGAAAGAGAAGTTGCATGTATGGCTCTTACAGAAGGTAGCTGAAGGTGGTAAAGGCCCTAGTGTATTGGATGAGGGTGGACAAGGTGTTCTACATTTTGCAGCAGCACTTGGCTATGATTGGGCTTTTGAGCCTACTATAGTTGCTGGTGTTGGTGTCAATTTCCGTGATGTGAATGGATGGACTGCACTTCATTGGGCAGCGTCTGGTGGGAGGTGAGCACGTCAACATTTCTTTTGAATATTTCTTTGAAGTTCACCATTTTCTTCTTTTTTCCTCTTATCTCTTTTCCCTTTCCTATTATTTCGTGGTTGTCCTTTAGTTCATAGGAGGAGATATGATGAAGATTCTAATATTATGGCTTTATAGGTCATCAAATACTCCATAATGAGGAAAAATTTATCTTTTTGATTCAAACAGATGTGAAAAATACCATTCCATCTGATATTTCATGCTTTAATCCTTGTATTTTTCACTCAGTTATTTCTCTTTCGTTTTTTATGTGCTGCTTCTATTAACATAAACTCTCTTCAACTTCAGAGAGCATACGGTTGCTTCCCTCATTTCATTGGGTGCAGTTCCTGGAGCAGTAACAGATCCGTCTCCTACTTATCCTTCCGGCAGAACACCTGCTGATCTAGCCTCTGCCAGTGGACATAAAGGAATTGCTGGATACCTTGCAGAGGACGCTTTGAGGGTCCAGAGTTCATCCCTTAATTTGGCTAATGAAGATGATGATAAAAAAGGACCCAAAGCAGTGCGGGAAATTTCAGAAAGAAGTGTAACTCCACTTAGCTTAAGCAATGCACCAGATAGCCTGTCATTAAGGGAATCATTGGCTGCTGTCTGTAATGCTACCCAAGCTGCTGCCCAAATTTATCAGGTTTTCCGAGTGTACTCCTTCCAAAAAAAGAAGTTAAATGAGCTTGCGCTTTCACTTTTAGCAATCAAGTCATACAAGCCAGGACAAGAAGATGAACTTATACATGCAGCTGCCACATTCATTCAAAATAAGTTCCGTAGTTGGAGGGCTAGAAAAGAGTTTTTGATAACCAAGCAGCGAATTGTTAAAATTCAGGTGTATTTTACTTGCTGATTTAACCTGGTTATGGTTCTTGGCACTCTGACCTTGCTTTTCCTTTCTCCAAAGGTTTGAATCTAACTTTTAGCTTCTTCTTCATTTTTTTATTTTTTTTTTCTTTTTTGGTGAAGGCTTATGTGAGAGGTCACCAAGTCAGGAAACACTATAGGAAAATAATCTGGTGTCTAGGAATTTTGGAGAAAGGGATCTTGCGTTGGAGAAGAAAAAGAAGTGGTTTGAGTGGATTTAAGCCAGAAGCAGTTACCGCAGCTCCCAATATGCATGAAAATTCCTCAAAAGATGACGACTATGATTTTCTGAAAGAAGGCAGGAAACAGGTAGAAGACAGGATACAAAAGGAGCTTGCTAAGGTCAAGTCTATGGTTCAGTACCCAGAAGGCAGAGAGCAATATCGCAGACTGCTGAATGTTGTCACTGAGATCCAAGAGAAAAAGGTAACTGAATGTTTTCTTTCTCTAATTTTTCATTTGTAGTTTTTCATAAAAGATATCACAGAATGTTTTACACAATCCGTAATTGGAAAGTTATACATGGACATGTTTTAATTTTGTTTACACATGTTATGGAATTATGGCGAGCAAGATCAGTTTATCTCATGGATTTGCTACTGAAGCAATTAAGAACATTTGAAAAGTTGAGGTTGCATTTTACGTGTTTTACTTGTTCCAGGGGTTACCTTTTTTTGATATATGGAAAAATATCTCTAGTTTTTTCTTTGTACAATAGCCAAATAGGGCTAAACAGTTTTGACATGTTGAAATGTAGGTTATTTTTGGTTTAAGTAAGGTTTGTATGAACTTGTTTCTTTTAACTAACTTCGCAGGTTAGTGCCCTGAGTCCGGTTGATTTTGATGAAGACCTGATAGATGTTGACGCATTATTAGAGTAAGACACTTTCATGGCCAGTGGCCACTGCAACTTGAGGCATCTTTAAAACCGCATGTAATAAAGTTACTAGAGATTTCAGAAATGCCAGCCAATCGCTGGTGTGAACGCAGGCATATCTCTCCAAAAGCACTGGTGAGTCACTCCCCTCAAGTGCCATCCAGGATTGTTCTACTCTGGTGTTTGTCCCTGTAAACGCTCAAATGACACCAAAGCAGAGACACACACTAAATTACATGCTGAAATGTTCAATAAATAACAGTATCACTCATAGATGAGAAATACTTCTGGTACAAGTCATTCTGTGGATAAGGGTAGTTTAGGTATTTCAGGTTTAAACCCGATTATAACTTCAAATCAAGATTTTGAAGTTAATGGATGCAACTTCGCCAAGGTGCTATAAATTGTATTTCCCATAATTGTAAGTGATGGAATGTAAGCTATTTTCTTCTTCCTCTCATCCCTGTATCTTGCTTTCCTAACTCTTCTTCTTCTCTTGATCTTATCTCAAAAAATACTTCTCCTAATCTTCTAATATCTGTTCCTCTTCTACGGTACGACTTCTTGTTCACCACTTAAATGCAGATGGTGTCTTTTCTTGTATTCAATGGAAAACAGTATTTTTCAATTGCATATAATTGTTGTATTTTCTATGTTTTATCCAAAATAAAATTAAAAAAAAAGAAGAAAAAAGCATAGCTGGTGTAAATTAAAACGTTAATTTCTGTTGTCTCTGCAATTCCGATTGCTAATACAGTTTATCAATTGAAAAGTGAGTTGCGTGAATCATGAATAGAAACAAAACTTGTTTCCCCTTTTATAGACTCATAGTTTTGAGCTTGTAGTGAGTCCAAAATGAACTCAAACATTAGCGGTTCATTATTTCAAGGGCGTGTTTGGTTTTCGGTACAGAAGGGCATGTTTTGTTGGTGGGCGTGCAAGTGTAAAGAAACCGAAGGTTGGGTCCTCGAAATTTCTTAATTCTTCTTAGTGTAGTGGGTGTTACACTATTACCGCGCGGAGGCATTGCATATGACAGGGACATGAACTTTTTGATTTTCTCTCATTGTTCCCAAAATGTTAAAATCTTTTGTATTTTAGATATTATGGAATTTGAATTCCCCATAACTTAGTTGTGTGTTTCTGTTTTGTTAATTTTAATCCCACTTTTTACCGAAAATGAAAAAAGAAAAAAAAGGACATTGCACATCTTTTCTTTCTAAAGAAAAAAAATTATTTACAATGTTTTTAATAATGAATTTTTATAACAATAAATTTTTATTTTTTTAAAAAATTAGATAGGGTAATGAATTTGGATAGGGTAACAATGTGTATAATATTTTTGTATAATTTTATTTATAATTTTTATATATTATTAAATAAATATATATAATATTTATATTATTA